TCGTTAGAGTTAAGCGTCGCTAGCGTACAACGACCAACGATAGGGCGAACACAGGTATGTTAATGGACGCGATACCAAGTCGCCACGGTGTCTTCTCTCCCCTCGGTGGTTTATAATTCGTGAAACGACCAATTAACATTCTCCGAAAAGAGTTGGTGGCCCATCGAGGTCCTAAACAGGGCCCAGTTACGGACTTTCGCGTTCGTGTAACGGGCATAACAACATCTCGTAATCTTAATACAAATCTACGTGGAAACAGCGTCTCGCGTTTGGTAACGATACATTAAGAGAACATCGGGCCGAATTCGATCGACTCTCCGAATACGAAAGCGATGAAGAGGCGAGCAAACGAGGATGTAAATCTTCGTTAACGATTGCCGGTTGAAAGTCGCGGGACGATCAAAGTTACTTTGTTATTTCGTAACGTTCATTTCCCGGAGGATAACGAGTTTAATTAGTACCGAGGCGAATTGCTGAGAATAAAGATTCGTATCTACGTTTAATCATCGGGTTATTAATATTTACGCGAAGCGTAAAGAAAATTGCAACTGTAACTGTTGAATCGAATAAAAAGCCTACCGTTCGAAGTAGTATTATAAAAGAGAAGCAGAGTCGGATGTGAGACTCGTGTTTACAAGCGTCAAGTTGTAACTTGGTTCGATGTAACGACATAATCCTCTCGAACAGAGAAATATCTGAAATCTAAATCGTATACGTCTCACGAGTGTACGCGAGCGAATATTTCGCACGATCATCTCATCTAAAGCGCAAGAAGCATAAAAGTAGCAGAACGCGTATGCACGAGGAACAGATGCAAGAAGACGGCCTCGACTACGGGGCTCGGCTGAACTGGAGTTCTTCCGCGATGAAAGACACGTACACACGGAGAGTCACCGCTGGCTGCCGGTGTATATTGCCTTGTGCACGGCAAGATCTTCGATCAAGAGCATGCGCACGTTTCGTGCGCGAACGAACAGGCAACGCGACCGAGCGTTACAACGTGCAACCACCGAGAATACGGGAACGCATACTACACGTACCTGTTGCTTTCTCTCTGCAGCCGGGATGCTGAAGCCTACGTTCCTCAGGACAGCTCGAGATCCACGAACGCAACGAGATCGCGGCGTATAAATCCTCTTTCCAGCGTGTAATCGGCGTTACTCGCCCGGCGATCTCGTTGCTCCTTTTTCTTACAAACAACGACGTTTCACAGGTTCCACCAAACGATATTCGTTCGACCGATTTGCCCTTAACCCGTGATTACTACGCGACTGTTCTAGGCGTCCAATACACATTTGTACCAATCAGGATGCTCCGAAGCCAATTCTCTACAATACCCAAAAAATACATGTACAGGGGTGGTTAGACGTAAATTTCACTCTATGCGTGAAACGTGTCTCCGAATTTAGATTTTCTCTTTGGTTCGAGAGTACGAGATATTCTGATCTTACGATTATTACGATACTTTTCGCATGCCCAACAAAAATTTTGCAAATTTTTATGCTCCAAACCCAATTCTCTGTAATACCCAAAAAAATACGTGTACAGGGGTGGTTAGACGTAAATTTCACTCTATGCGTGAAACATGTCTCGGAATTTAGATTTTCTCTTTGGTTCGAGAGTACGAGATATTCTGATCTTGCGATTATTACGATACTTTTCGCATGCCCAACAAAAGTTTTTGCGTTATCTAGCCGTAAAGAATATTTCGACCCGTTAATCGTCGACATACGCGCAGTACAAGTGTAAGAAATTGATGTGCGTAGTAATTACGGGTTAAAGGCGTCACTCCGCGAATCATTGGACACTGTTCCCGACCCCCCGCATCGTCGAACACGAATTTCTTTTCACGCAGCACTCGGTGCCGCGTAATATCCCGCGCGTGAGCTCTCGACGTCGAACTGACACCACTTCACAGCTGCACCTGCACTTGCACTTGCACCGTGGCACAGAACCGTGGGGCCCCGACAGATCACGGGGTACCGTCGCGCCGTCCTATATCGTGTCGAGAGGACCGACGACGGTGGCATCCTCGCTGCATCACCGTACACTGCACTCTCGAGTCAAGCCGAACACGAACACGCTCGACTCGGCTCTCTTCCCTCTCGTTTCCTCTGGGTCTCTTCTCCGCCCCGCCGATCTTAGGGCTCCTTCATAATAGCGACTTTCCGCCGAGCGAACTGTTTAATCGAGTTAAGCGCCGTCCATGATTTCTCATCGAGAGCCAATAAGGAACAGTGTAGTCCATTCGAACTGTACGATCGTTCGAGTACGCGGTCACATATAGGCGCATCCTTTTGATTCCGCCAAAGTCGTCGATATGCACAAGCCCTAAGGGCTTATTCCTTTTTCGCTTAGTCTGTTTTTTTTGTACCCTGTTTCTTCTATCTCGTCACACACGAGTGTCGTAGCGGTGATGGTACGCATCCAAGTTCTTAACTCTCGTCTACGAGCCTGTCGATTCGCTTACGAAAAATGTACGAAGTGCAACGATCGAAATAGTACAACATCGCGGGAATACTATCGTATCTCACAGCACCGCTTCTCGGACGTATTCGGTAACTGTTCGCGGTTCAACGATCGGAACGCTTCGCGCGTATAGACGGCAGTGGCAGTAACATCGCGGTGGGATCTGTCATCTCGATTCCGAGGCTACATACGCGAATACCGACGGATAAGAACCTCTTCGTTCGGAGTAAGGTTCGTGAATCGATAGATACGATCGAATTTGAGATTCCGCTCGGTCTAGGCCAGTGGTCGGTGGCTGTGCCGCGTCGTTTCTCGAAATGCTTCGCGAAGAAGACACTTCGCGGTCGATTCTCGAATGGTACACGATTCGTCTCGGTACGGTGCTCGAAGGTATCCTCCGCACAGTTGCAAACTGGGAAGGGTGTACTCTGGTACGAACGATGGCACGGCAACACGCAGTCGAGAGACTCGAATCGGACTGGCTGTTGAGATGAGGCCCTTTTCCCCCACCACTGGCCACCATCGACTGGTTGCTTCTCTCCTTGCGTCAACCCCCCACTTCCCACATGCCACCGGACATTCTCCTCCCGTCCCTCTCCCGCGGTTTGCGACTTTGCTCGCATCATTGTATCTTTTCTCTTCTTTTTCACCTCTTTCGGTTCCAACGTGTTTCGCCCTTTCTTTCGCGTGCATCAACTTAACCTCTCCGATGCTCCTAATCAGACATACGTGAGATGCATCTTGAAAAGAATCGCAATCGAATATTCACGAATACAAGGTGTCCCAAAAATGTTGTAACACCTTGAAAAGGGCGGTTCGGGAGGTGATTTGAAACAACTTTTTCCTTAGCGAAAATGTTGTCCGAGGTTTCGTTAAGGAGATATTAAGCGAAAACGCCGACCAATCAGAGCGCGCGTATTCCGTTGGAGCGTAGGCTACGCGCTAAGCGGACGCGCTGATACGCTACCGCGGGCGCTCCACCAGCATACTTGGGCTCTGATTGGTCAGTGTTTTCCGTTAATATCTCTTCAACGAAGCCTCGGACAATATTTTCGCTAAGGAAAAAGTTGTTTCAAATCACCTCTCAAATCATCTCTTTCAAGGTGTTACAACATTTTTGGGACACCCTGTATACGGCCCGCGAATATGAATTTCTTAATTAGCCATACCTCGTTAGGCGTACCTCGACGTATGTACACGATGGGAGGTTCTTTCTTCGCGTTCTTTCGCAAGCGCTTCTGATAGGTGTTCGTCTGACATTGCAAGCGCAAAGTCACCCCCGGGGGCACAACTTCGTAGACATCTGTGTCTTATTGTGCATCCGTTCGTCCCGTGAATGGTTATCTCCGGTCTCCCGAGCGGTTTACTATTATATTGACTACGTGCGTGCCACGATTATTATAATGTATCCCTCGCAATTTTCGAGTCGCGCTAACGAGACCCCATTACCACCGTTTAGGATAATGCACCCATCAATTTGTTCACCACTGTCGGTAAGGTAATATAGGTATCTCGATCGAACGGAGTTCGATTAAAAATAATTGCAAATAAAATATTGATCTTGTTTCAAACGTATAATTATTTGAATAAATGGAGACGGTCAGTTTTTGTGTCAGTTTCCAATTTATCTAGTTCCGCTACAATTAGTGCCATCTATCGAAAAATAGTGCAAATAGTTAGACAGTAATGTAGTGTAGTGGCAATGGCGGATCGTAAAAGAGATGCTACAAAAACATTATTTATAATTGGAATCTTGTGGTATAGGTTATGTTTACGAATGAATTTAGTTCAATAATTATAATTATCTCTAAATTTTATGAGCAAATCAATAACATGTATCTCATGCTGGCAGGAAAAGATCGCGATCGATTTAATCATGAGACGTATTTCCTGGCCGTTTTCATGTGAATGCTAAACAAATGTCATGACATTTACCAACGTATTAAAAGTAATGACTCTATGACACGCAAATATCGTAAAATCGAATATCGAATATTGCTCGATGCAAAAAGTATCCGATAAACGTTCGAATTCAAATTAAATTATTCGATAGCGAAATTCATTATCATTCATAATAATGACTTTACAATACACTACACACAGATCTTATGTAGTTTCCTGGGACACTTCTTTTCATTTCACTCTTCAATTAATGTAGGATAACAAAAGATAATAAAATATTAGGTGGAGTGGAGGTGGATTTTTATCCATCTTGCCATTGAAAATTTGTACGCTGGATGTCAAAGGGCTGAGGGTGATTACATAAATGTTCGAAAATAGAAACTTATTAAGAACGTATTTGTTTGAATTTAATGTAAAAGAAATGACATTACTTTTTGGTTCCCCTAATATATATGTTTCCTTATTTATAAGCCCTTATTTTGTTTATTGTTCGAAAATGAAATTTGTCTAACAATGCCCTCTCTTAACAGCAGCTAGACAGGTGAAGCGATAATATCGTTCGACTGGTGCCAGCCTTGTTTAATAGCCGACGACGAGGTTCGGGTACGTTCGGTGTCGATCGGGCGACCACGTGACGGTTATCGAGAAATATGGCGTGAAGTTGGCACGAAGATGGTTGTCGCGAGTTACGAAAGAGTCGACGATTTCTCGCGGGGAAGTCGCTTCCCAATCGTCCGGAAAAAGTGCCGCGCTGCTGTTTTCCCTCTTGAATCCAGCCCGCGTAAGATAGTGCAATGCTATACAACATCAAGTGGATCATACCGAAGCTTCGAAGTTCGACCAGGCTCTGGAACATTGCGAGCAGTATAACCTTCGCTGCAGTAGGGATTTTCTCAAAAATCATTATAGGTAAGTAACCACACGAGCCGGTTTTTCGGTAAAAATCGGTACTGTTTGCTAGCCTGATGATGACGCGCGATTCTACCATCCATCGCTTCGATTTACATTCAGAAACCGTTTCACGAGGTTTGGAAATCTGATAATTTTACTACGGGAAGGCATTGGCACGTATCATAACTGCACGTTTTATGGTTGATATCTATCATTTGTACGCGAACAGAAACGGACAATGAAGCGTTCAATTGAGTACGATTATCGCAAAATAGATTATCGTTTCATGAATAGACGTGCGAAAGATTGTAGCTTAGGGACGGAAAAAACATTACTGATTTATGTAATCGTATAGAGCACTGTGAACAAAATTCATTTAATCACTGCGATTAATCATTCAGATTATTTTTTACGACTAATTTCATCGAACCTGACTCACGTATAATTCAATCGTAACCATAAACTTCAATTTGCGTATCGAATATTCATTACGATGCATTGACATTTTTTAATAACGTTAAACGTACTCTCTGACACTCTTCTCTTTATAAAGAAATTAAAATTTAGTCACATGGTTTCATCGATTATCATAATTCCTATTAATTATTAATCGTCTTTAAGAATTGTCATCGTTGGTACCAATAACATTCGTTACGTATTACAGGAAAAAAGGCATGATTAGTAGCAATTAATATCGCACGTAATTGTTGTCATCCGAATTCACCTTAGTACGTATTTGCGCTCATTATCTTTCGTATAAACAAGTACGTTTAGATCTAAATTTTACATTTCTATTTCATTGAAAAAATAGGCACACGATTACTACCATGCAATCGACTTCGATATTTATACCTTCTAATTGATCAATCTTCTCCACTATCCTTCACGTAATTCTTTCAATTTCGCGCGCATACTTTAAATACGCCTCAAATCGAAAACCGATTAACGTTAAAAATATCTAGACGCGCGAATCGATACATAAGTACGAATAATACGAGTCTATACGAATTCTTCCCTCCTCGTTTCGCGACGATCTCAAATCCTGTACGATCATTTCTATTGTTCCAACTACGCGAACTGCCATTAAAAACGATGAAGCGCAGGTGTGACGCAAAGTTGGAAAATTTGGTAGATGTGCGAATAAGAAAACGCTACTTTACCATTGAACGTTTAACCGTGTGATCCTGATAATGAAAGTTACCACGCAAACGTAACGACTAATCGATATTCAGAATTCATAATTGTATAATATTAACATCCTATTGCTTGATATTACGCGTCTCTCTGGTCGTGGACTCGTTAGCAGTCGTTCCGCCTACTGCATAGCTAATTCCCTCGAGTTTTCTAGTAACAGTTTGTAACCCATGAAAACGGACGTCGATGTGTTTCGCTTCAATACGATTTAACTTATTTCTGCGATGTGTGGTGTTTCTAATTTCAGGTAGAATACTGTATGCGTTACCGCCCAACGAAGGGCGCAGGAAATCAGTCGTTGGCCCTTGCTGGCCTTTCAGTGAGTACCACTGATTTACGAGGACGGCTCGGTGTTGACTTAGTGACGATACAATAAACTTCGGAAATTAAGCGCATTACTCAATTGGTTGAGCGCATAGACACGACGTGCGCGCACATCCCGCCTCTCTCCCCTTTTTCACTCCTCTCTTCTTGGTCGTTCCATCAATTTCTCCGCGTGTAATAGCACCGAACGAGCGCCAAAGGCGTTCGTTTCTCTGGATTCAATGTCACGCCACACGAATTTCGTTCAGCGACTGGCCCTTTCTTCATCCTCTTCGCTTCGTTTCTTTTTTTTTTTTTTTTTTTACATACGTTCACGGCGCACAAGGTGATTCTCATACGATGATCCGTAAAATTTGACAGCACGGAGGATCTGTTCGTACGTAGAATGGGAAGGTTAAGGGAAGGTGAATTTCTTTTTTTTTTTTTTTTTTTTTGTTTTGTACATTCAAACTCGCTGGGTGAAAGAAATTTGTTTAGGTTGGGATAGAGACGATCTAAAAATCTCGCAAGACCTCGTAGAGAATATAATTTCCATTCTTTCGTCGCTCAACGTAGTAGGTGACTCACCGTGCATACCGTAATTGATAACCGACAACTGATCAATAAGAGCTGTACAATGTTTAGACTGGAATCGTCGTCTAAGATAAGAAGCACATATGCTGAGGATTCGGTTGGCTAGACTGGGATCATCATAGATTTATCGTACAAGACGATTGAAGGTTATAAGGTCACAAACTAAAATATTCCGTCGTTAGTTTTCGCGATACGTTCAAACTTCTAATCTACAACTTGTTAACGAACACGTTTTCAAGATTGCTTTGTTACGTGTGGGTGATCTTGAATGACCTTGAACACAAGAGTTCTATTGCGAAAAGCTATCGTCGCTTATCTTACGAAGTCTTACCCAAGATCATAGATTAAGTTCTAACTCCAAACTTCTTCAACAAGACGCGCTTTCGAAATTGCTTCGTTACGTACTCGTAACCTACGATGATCATGAAAGAATGCAGTGGGTGTAGAATGTATTCGTACATCGATCGATTTCCCCAAAAAAACTTTTGTGCGAAATTGTAGTTTCTTAACTTCCTTTTTTGTAATCAATGATATTTTACATATTCTCGGAAGTCTCTAAGATAGATATAGTCCAAGCAACATGTACTAGTTAATATAATTTGTGAAGTTAACAAAAAAATGCGAGAAATGGGTAAAAGTAGAGAAGCAATAAGTATTTGTACGATTGTGCGTAGAAAAATTGAACCTAAATAGGAATTTATTTTATTCTGCAAATATTATAACACGAACGTTACTTTCAATCTTTTTTTAGACTCTTGCGTATTGTTTGCATTTTGTAATTTCTTCCACGTACAAATTTCCTATAAATGCATCAAGATCCGCGGTCTCTATTTATGACGAACCATTTACAGTAGAGTTTGTAACGTACACACATTAGTTTATCGCTCCGTGCGAATTAGAAAACATCAAATTTCCAGGGAAGTACTTTGAAACAGTTGTCCGTACACTTATTGCTTCAACGTTTCTATCGATTAATTGTTTTTTTCTTGTTAATTTCGCAACTTACATAAATAGCTATTTTTTGTTGTAATCTATCTATTCTAGAGATTTCCTAGAACATGTAGAATGTTATTGTGTATAAAAAATAAGTTAATAAATTACAAATTTTACACGGTTTTTTTTTTGGAAATTGATCGGTGTACGAATACTTTCTACACCCACTGTAGGTCGTTGAACCAATCGCTAAAAGCAGTTACCGCATTCTAGAATAAAGAGCGCGAGTAGAACGAAGAGAAATGACCTTGAAGAAATGACGAACCCTTCCACGTTAAACAGTTCTTCCACGTATTCTTCAACTTTGGGGTAACACCGTGGATCATCGCCTAAGGATCACCCTGTGTATCACCATCGCACGATCGACTTTCATAACGATAAAAGTAAAACCATAGTGTTGCATGTAATCAAATACGCCGAGCGTAGACGACGGATTCGACTCGAAGTTCGTTAGCGCATTTCCTGAATTGAGCCACGATTCGCCGAGCAATTCGCGATGGAAGTTGAAAAGAATATTTCAGAATATTTTATGCGCGATCGTGGCGAAACGTGTATTTCTTTGTTCTCTCTCCTTTTTTTTTTTTTTTTTTATCGCGTGAACGTAAACGCATTCCTGACGTCGAACTCGGCTAGACCATTCCTGGTGGTGCGAATTAATTTACCGAAGCATTTCTTTCCGTTCCTGCTGTTTAAGAATGGCTGAACAGAACGACGGTACACAACAAGCACATCATAACACAGGCGTTAGACAACCGGCCGAAAAATGTCCCCCTCATCACCGTGTCGAATCATCACAGTTGTTTCGACGATCCGGGCATATGGGGTAAGTCGTCTCGACGATAATTCCGAGCGGTTCGACAAACCGCCATTATCTCATCGACCGTTCTGTGCTTAACGCTCGACGCTGTTCCATCGATTCCATCGGGTGTTTCTTGTTGCCATAAATATCTGATTGTGCAAAAGGATCGTTGAATGTCACAGTGTTTTTTCAGATTCCGAGAAGCGACACGCGTCCGAGAAGTTCGATTCCTATGCGTCTTGCTCCTTGGGAATAATACGCGAGGTGTACTTGCTATCTCCGACCAAAATGGAAGCAGAACCTCCCTTCGAACCAGAGTTGGACGTTATTCGAATAGTTTAGAATAAGTCTTTGTGTAGATGAAATATCTTTTAGTCGAGGTGCTTGAGAATCGTTATTCGTTGCGACGAATGAAGTTTATGGATAAATATTTATTGTCTGTGCGAATGGAAACACGATACTTCACGTACACGCGTCTGTAGAATTGTTCTGTGTATTGGTATCCGTAGTTCTGTGTAGAATGTTACTATAGCCCTGCGTATGGTAGTATTTGTCAAATACGTATAATATACACGATACACGCCACAGAAGACATGCATGCGTATGTGCAAGGAAGTATTTTCTCATTTACATGATCGATAAATATTTATTTGTCCGCCTTTGTTGTTCGAGGGAAAAGTTTATTTCAATAATGAGTAACAAACAATGAACTTTCTATTCACGAGCCACGAATAAACGATAAGGCATTATTCTTTATCTAATCGAAGATTTGTCCTACTCTGCTTCGAACAAAGCATCGAAGAAACTTTTCTCTAAAGTGACTGTTCAAGGTTATTTGCTTGAGACTATCACTGTATTGTTTACCTGGCTATACTGTATCGATCGTCTCCTCGTGCAAAGTCGCGAGCATGTGCTCGCTGTCTATCAAACCGGGAAACAAGCTGGCGTAAGAGTTGAACTCGCTTCTGGCGTGATTCAAAGTCGCCCAAGCCCAAGTTTGATCAGCCAATCTATTTTCATCCTTAATCTTCTAACACCCTTGACTAACTCTTCAAACGTATTCAGCGAGTCACTCGTGTTTTTATCGTGTGCAATTTTGTAACGCCAAACTTAAAAAAAAGTAAAGAGCGTAAAACTTTCTAATTAAACTTGCACTTTGGTCGAACGTTAAGCAGCTTTTTATCGTACTTTGTAATCGTATTCGCGGCAATTCAAAGTGAAAAAATACGGTGCACGTTCAAGGTCTCTATGCATCGTTGAATACTACGGTGACGAGCCTTTTCTTTAGGCACTCTCACGTTCCCCCTTCCTGAGACATATATAATCTTTTCTTTCTCAGAATGACGTCGATACGCGAACGAATGAAAGAATTTAAGACAGAAAATCTCTGAACTCATTTAGCGACACTGGACCTGAGGCATCTCCTGAATCGACGTAAGATGAGATGGTCGCTCGCTGCTCACGACATTTGTTTCACGAATATCTGGCATTCCTACTTCTTTATGCTGGGCAAGTGCATTCCCGTAATCAGGGGTGGCGGAGTCTATCAGGAAGCGATGGATTTTTGCATCGAGAAGCTGGCCTCTGGGGATTGGGTTCATGTTTTTCCCGAGGGGAAGGTGAACATGCTCAAAGAGAACATGAGGTTCGCCTTTCTGTTCCGTCAGGATCGTATACCACGCGTTCTAGCTTGCTCTAGCTGTAACCGTTGCTCTCCGTCGCTCTCTATGATCTCGTCAAACACGACACGTCTTGTAATCAATTCGCTATATTGTTTTGCATGAAAATTATTATACCACTAGCTGCGAACTAAAGACTATAAAACTAAAGACTATTATAGAACTAACTTTCTCCTATTTGAATTTCCATTCGATTGCCCGGGATTTATCGGTATCATAAAATTTTTTTTTTTTTTTTTTTAATTACGACGCCTTGTATTTTTACAGGTTAAAATGGGGCGTGGGAAGGTTAATATTGGAGTCACCCGTTCCACCTTTAGTGATTCCAATTTATCATCTTGGCATGGACCAAGTTCTCCCCAACGAACCACCCTACATACTGAGACTACGGAAAAAGGTCACCATGAATTACGGTGAACCCATAGACTTTAGCGAATTAGTGCAAGAATTACGTACATCGAAAGCAACGGAGATGGAAGCGAGGAAAGCGATCACGGATCGTATCCAGGAAGAGCTCCTAAGGTACACTTTCTCATTTTATCTCGAAACTTGAAATAATAAGATTGATTAATCTGTGAAAATTATAACTTGTAATTTAGATTAATCACAATGAGAAGATAATTCGCAGTAGGTCCGCATAAATCCTAGAAAAGAATTACGATTCTCGTTTCGACCCTGGAGTTTCGACCCTCCTCAGTATCTTCGTTGATTAAATACAAACAACTCTCGATTTAGGAACGAGTTCCATTCCAAGATGTTCATTATATGTATCTCTCGTTGCTAAGCTTCTTGTTAGCTTCTTCTTTTCTTCTTTTCCGTTCTTTTCCTCATTCGTGTGAAGTGGCAATATCGTATAAAAGTATTGTAGGTGAAATATATAGTATTATATGTATATATAGTATTATATAGTAAATATATAGTATTAATGACTGAGATTATGTATAGTATACTAAATAAGAAGTAAGTAGTAATGTATAGTTTATGTGTTGTGTACCACCTGCGTGCGTCAGTCTCTTATGTATGTTTAGACACTATCTCTTTGATTATATTCTCATCCTTCTCTTGTACTTTTCTCAATAAATTGAAATTCTTCAAGAGAGCCTTCGTCAGGTTCGAAACGTTCAATCGTAATTCTGTTTTACGATTTATTCGCGTATCTCCTGTCGCTGATCCTATTGTTTAGATTAACGTGGACTAAAAGTGGTTAAAGATGCTCGTGCTTTTTTCAGATTAAAATCTGTCACCGAGGAACTTCACGAAAAGTTATGATGGTCGATAGGGGGGCCGCCGCATTATCATCCCCAATCAGCTTTAATTAGTCAACAAAATAAAAATGCAATTTTTAATATGACACTAGGTGGAATTTCGTGCTAGGTTTTTTAATCAGAGGTGATTACCTAAGGACAACACGTTTAGCGATATATGTGCAATTGTGCAACACAATACACACGCTGGACATGAGTGATTTAGACTCTCTAAAAGGAAAATGGCTACGTTCGTCACGCTTGGTTTCGGATTTTAATTTAAATACGAGTCATCCCGACTTAACTAATAATGCCATATATGTTTTCATGGGCTGCAGTGAGCTCGTACGCAACAATGTACATACATACACACGTTGTACATAGAACGAACTATCGGAAACGTGTTATATACAAACTCACAGGAGATTCTTCATAGAAGAACCGTTAAGACAATCACAAATTATAGAAGGTCCTGAATATAGTATCCCAACTGTGCCAGCTGGACCATTTAGTCTGGGCCACAACCTTACAAGTGCCTTAATTTACACAAAAAGGATAGTTAAGGAATTTATATGGTATTGTAATCAGTTTTTGTATGACTAGTAATATTATGCTACATCCTGGAACTGCTAGTTGGACTCATTGGTAAGGCTTAGCTGGCATGTCCTATCTTAGACGGGACGCTATTAATCGTTTATAGTAAGGAGATAGACATAATTCTTATTTAGTAGATATAGTTTCAAGTTATTATACGCAATTTCCATTCATCATCTAGTGTTTGTCTCCACAACCTAACACAGGATTATTTGTGCGTCTCGTTTAAAACAGGAATTGTCAGATAAGCGTCCCGATGAACTCGACTAGTAGATTCATGATAAAAGTCAGAACTATTCCTCGTTGTACCAAAAAAATTACTTATTACGCAAAATATAGCTTTTTTAATATATCGGTAACCTTTATAGATTATGTGGTTTGGCCTCTTCCGAACTATAAGAGGCCTTGCCTCCTTACACCGAATTTAGGATTCAAATGGTGTAGAGCTTCACAATTTGTGACCGCATACTAGCGTAATATAATTTTGTTCGTTGGATGAATTTACTCTGCATATATATTGAAAAAGAGGTCGCGTAACTTTTGTATCGCTACGCACAAATGGAATACAATTATACTGAAAAGAAATGTGACGTTGAATGAAGGAGAAAGTAAAACAAGATTCAATTAACACCCAACGTATCTGTTAAATTCTCAAGGAAAATACAATACTAACGTTTATGATCTAAGATCACACATTAAGACAGCTATGTTCGCATACACTGACATATATTTTTGATATACCGAGAATTTACAATATAGTTGTAAACATACTTCGAATGATAAAAATAACGCAGAGATATGCACATTTTGTTATTTATTAAATTCTTGTAGCGAGTAGTAAAATATCTCGTACGTGAAAACTATCTTCTTCTGTTTCAAATTTATATTGAATAAGATTATTATTGAAAATGTAATGTGATATCTTTTTTACATGACTATTTCGTTTGAATAAATTATTTCTCATGTTAGCGAATCGTTTTAAATAACGCATAGTATGTATATGTATATATATATATATATCATTACAGCTGTTTACATAACGGATAAAATAATATTCCCTATTAACGGAAGGATAATATAATTCATTGACGTGTATCGTAAAAAGTTCGGAATTATACGAGTCACATCTTTCTTTCTTCGATAAATATAGAATTGTTTTTATTTTGATAATTCACAGTTGTCGTTAAAACAAAGATACAGATTAATCTATGAGGAATAGCATTTACACGGACATATTTAAAATCAATTGTTACATATGAAAATCGTGACTATATTACATGTTGTCGTTACGACGTCCACCGACAAAATCTTACGTACACTGTTTTGTGACATATAGAAATAGATTACCGCCTCGTTTACCATACCATGTCTTTAATATTTGTGAACGAAAAGGATCGCGTACATGTTCTCTTGGCACATTTTCTCTCCGTATAGAAACGAACGGTTCCCAATTCTACGACTGATACAAGGAAAGCAACATACGATACTCACATTTACGAGACGAAAGAGGGCTGACAGAGATTGTTATAATAGGACTATACATTAATACGTCACACATATCATAAACTTTGAATAGACAGAACGGTATATAACATTAACGAGAAAAAAATGTACATAATACATACATAGATGCTATCACTTCTTAACTTATCACTTATCGTTTCAGACTCTCTAGTACTCCGTTGCAAAAATCGATAAAGCGAATTTTGTTAAAAATTACGATCTCGAGATTTTGATCGAAGCAAATCATTTCTATAATAATTGAAGATTGTACCATCATCGACTCATCACTCTTATCTGCATACCATTGATTAAATAAGACGCAGTATCGTTTCATGAATAAAATTGATGCGAACGAGATAAATTTCTCTAGACTCCCAGATACAATGGAGTCGACATAAAGATTATTTCCTTGTCTCTTTAAATACACAAACTTGGTTCGTCTGATTGTTTCCGATTACATGAATACGACATACACACACATATATATATAAAAGATCATCTTTTTAAAAATCTGTCCACGGTTCAATTCAGCTGATTTTGTTACAATCACGAATTCGACTCTGGACGGTGTTCGAAGAATGAAAAATAACAGCAGATAATACTTAAATATTGCCCCACTTCTAACAACGATTCGTGCGGCTAATGTACATATAAATAGCATGACTCTGTATACGATTGTTTGTAAATACACGATTAATGACTATATTTGCCTTTGCAACGTGTACGCGTTAAAATCCTACGGAATTTAAATCTACGCACAGTTCTCTCAAGTATCGCAATAGAAATCAAACTATAAACACCGTTATATCCATTTGATTAAAAAAAAAAATGTTGCATCCTCGTGGTATGGACCGCGTTACACTTTCTAATATTCTATAGAGTAAAATCGTTTAACAGTTTTCCTTTCAATTAAACTATTCTATTTGTTCAAGGGTGTCCGTTAGCAATTTTCCGTAGACTAGTTTTGTTGAAGTTACAAATACTTCCGAGTAAAGCGGCACGTTCGTTGGTCACCTTCGGGGCGTTGTCAGCTGCACCATTGGGTGGTGGCATCGGAGGTGGTGGGATAGTACTTTTAACAGGGGCTCCATCACCTCGCGGCACATCTACGGAACCTTGAGTTAAACAGACTTGTAACTTTCAACGGTAGTTGCACGACATCGCTTGGACACACACTATCATACGATACGATTGACGTTTAACCCTCTATAACTCAAACTATATTTAACGTCTGACGAGAATTATTACACGATACCTCTGCTGATAATGGGTGATAAATCACATGATTTGCCGAGTCCAGAAGAAATATTTATATATTATAATATGTTTCTTGCAAGACGCAAATTCACAAGACACATTACGAGATACGAGAAGATTGGTTATTAGTCATGCCATTGTTTGAAATCCTCGATCGATACGTATTGATAACAGGATTAAATGAAACTTCAAATATATGAATGAGCATGCAACTTCAGAGACAAACAGAATCTTAGTGAAAAGATCCATTTCGCTAAAGATGTATCCAAGCAATGGTCAAATGAGAAGATGTATGCGTATAATTAATGCTGAATGATCGTATGACCTACGTGAGAGAAATAAGCGTAGTATGCGCCATCAACTTTTGTGCCCAGCTAATGTAAAAATCGGGAAGGTTATTGTTAGTCGTTAACGAAGATGACTCGAGACAGATTTGAATACTTACGGAAAGACGGTGGAGTCAAGGTTCCAACGCTGGTAGCCGTGGAAGTGCTTGTAGGACTATCTGAACGTTCTGGACTCTTGCCATTCGCTTGCTTTATTCCATTTGTACCTAATTGATTTGCAGAACGTTGCTCTTGTGCTAGTTTTTGTTCTTTCTTCTACAAGAAGAGAATGATCAATTAGTAGCATTGCTTCTTTGTACTTTGATATTACGTTTAAGATACTTACTAATTTCTGTTTTCGTTTTTTCATCTCTTCTTCCGAGCTCATCATCTCCTGAACTTTAACGAGTCTCTTCTGATGCCTAACTACCTTTTGTTCGTCTTTCAGTCTTTGTTCTGCTTTGTTCACCGCTTCGAGTAAAGCTTCCTTTAAATGACTACTTAATTTGAAGTGTGGTTTCTCCACTGATCCAATAGCCAGAGTTGCACGTCTTGCCGATTCGAAAAATGGATGCTCCGATAAATGGAATATCGTTGGTAGATCTTGTTTCAAAGCTTCAGGCGACAAAATCACCTCGAATAAACTTTTTAGGGTTGCATCACAATACGGAAAATCGGAACAGGTAGCCTCGAGAAGCGGCCTTCCAAATGCCATTTCATATAACACGTGTCCAAACGAGTAAACGTCTACTTGCGTCTGTTTTTAAATAATCATTTGGTTACTAGACGGCTTAGTAAATGTTACGTATTATGCATGATTTAGATCTTACCGTAGCGTGAAGTTTACGTCTTTGAACAACGTAAGGCCGATAGAATGCAGGCAAGCCTAACAGGCCATTTTCTATATCTAACAATTTTGCACATCTCTGAGTTAAAAGAATGTTGCCAGTATGTAAATGTCCATAGGGCAGACCTTTTTCGTGAAGAAATCCTAAAGCTTCCAAAATCTGCAATGACACTTATTTTAATGTACAGCATTAACTTGGTACATCTAATCTTTTAATACAAAGTAACAATCTTCTAACCTGGTATCCATACATTGCAATTTCAAGCACTGATAAAGATTTGGTTTGTTTCGGGTTTCCATACTTCTTTATAAATGGTTGTTTAGGTTTTGTCACACACAAAGTATCCCTCAGCGTGCCGGTCGGATGAAAATTTCTTATCGTTAACGCTCCATTTTCCGTCACATGTTGGAAAACAATTGGTTCTATATGATTGTGTTTTAACGTTCCTAAACTTTTGAAAACACCCTGCATATCTTTGTCCTGTAGATGTTTGTCCGGACCAAATTCTACCCATGCAAGTAGTAATTCTTGCTTGGGATTTTGACGATTTTTAACTGTATAATAATGTTTTCTTAACCGCCATCCCATATCAGGAATGGCCTTACAAACTTCATAATTCGCATCGCTACGTAAAGCTAGTGACACCTGTTGCAGAGCTATTTCTGAAAAATACATACATAAAAATAATTTTCAAATACATTACTACATTTATTATAGTGCTTTATTACAAACATACCATGTAGTGGTGCTGTGTAATTATCTGGATCTAAGAATTTTTTCATAGGAAGCGACGAAGCCAGTATGGGATTCATTAGTATTGTATTTAAAAAATTCTGAAAACAATAAGAATATCTTTGTAACAAGATAGAACTGTAGAGTTCAAATTTGTTCATTTCGAGCCACAATTTACCTGCAGTGCTACTTGACGTTGAGCTATGAAGTCTGGCTCCATATTACCAATAATTTTCTTTGGAGGAAGAGCCAAATCAATGGCTGATATTGATAAAGCTGCATTAAGTTGTACGAAGTCATTGTAACGTTTACTGACTCTCCAAGATTTTTCTGGAAGTGGACCTCTTTGCGTTCTGATCACGTATTCCTAGATCGACAATTACTATAATGTATCGTTTATCTGATGCGGCAAAACACTCTTAAAAACATTTGTTAACCAAGGGATATAAATACTATCGAAAATACAAAAATTTTATTTTAAATTTGTACGTATAAAAATTTCGTAAATAATCGCTGAAGACTTGATACGCGTAAATTACTCTTCGAGACACATTTGAGATTATATTTATCTACGGGCGCAACGATCTGTTCGTTTTGACGTAAAACGTTAGAAGAAGCCGAATCTTTGTTTACGGATAAATAAAGGTGTGCTGTCGTGAAGACAGATGCAAGATCGAAAATGGCTATCAAACAAACAACAATGTCCGGTTGCATTATCCAATGACACGAGATTGGAACGATACCATGGTATAAATGACACTTCTATTATCGAGCAAATTGTCAAAGAATATATCCAATAAGCGTGCGCCGTACCGTGTGTCCGTCAATTGTTCTTGCATTTTCAATGATGCTCGTCAGCTTTTCCGTATCATCCAGTAGCACTTTATTTATGTATCGCGTCTCAAATAAAGCCATTGATCATTAATCCGACGTAATGCAGGGCCCATGAGGGGCGTACTGGGTGGGCCTATCACACAGTTTTCGCGAGTCGCCATACATAACGCGCTTTTGCTTCATTTCAACATCGATGAACGTATATTTCGCACTCGACGTGAACGTTTTCTCAATGTCACCCCGATTAAAACGCGATCCCGCCGCTAACGATCGTCGCGATTCAGTTTTATAAACTTGTCAGAATTTGACACCTTCGCTACCTCGTCAATCACCCTCCTGCAGTGATACCACGTGAACAGGTGGTCCACTACGAAGAAAATGAAGTTTCTACAGTAGTACAGCGTAATTTTACAGAGGCAAAAGTCTTATCTCCTCTTATCGGAACGGTTGATGTTCCTGTCCCCGTAGTTTCACATTAGTTAGGGACGGCTCTACGCAAATGAAATCAAAGGCTCCCAATGGCACCCTGCTTCTGTACCCCGTTAGGCTGATTTATTCCAATCTTACAAGTGAAATTGCCATCGTACGAAAGTTTACTAAGTAGGTAGTGAATTACTCGATCATTCGATTAACCTAGGTTTGTGCTGTGAAAATAACAACTCCTACAAAAATGTTCTAAGTGGGGCCCTGCAGTTTCTAAGCCCGGTACTATCTCAGATATTTCTTAGAGACAGCGCTGTCCCGTTTTATTGGTTAAAGGAAGAAAGAGAGACACTGGAGAGAAGCAGAGACAATTGTAAAGGGCAATATTTGAAACGTAATATTTAAAAAAAAGAATTATTTTATAAATAGTTTGTTGCAACGCAAATAATACCCAAACTACACCGTCGGTATATAGAACCTGTAGCGCCATCTAACTTAACTTAGATTACGTAGGCTTAAGATTAGTTCAACTGTTCGTTGTAAGATGCCCACACCAGTCGCTTTTCTACAATCACAGTACAGGATTATTACGGCCTGAGAGATACACAAATACTTCCGGAAAAATTGTTCCCAATTTGCCAAGGTTTTTTCGATGTCTCTGGAGACACTGTTGCAGTATTCTCGCGAAATTAATTTTCGCCATACGAACTGTGTAGTTTCATCGCACTTCCAACAGATGTCAGGAGTTGGCTCGTTCGCATCTTTGATTCTAGCAGAAAAAATTACCCTGTAGTGCGAATGTCGAATGACCTATAAACTGCCAACGTGAAATCCAAGTCTCCACTGTCAAGGCTTGTGTGTAAACAAAAGCGATAGATCGAACGTGACATACGACGGGTCGTGTCCTTCGTGTCGATAGATAATCGACGAAAAGTATTACGTGCTCTGACACACAGTCTTCGATACGTTCTCTCCCTTGGAGGTTGCGAATCATTGTTGTTCCAATCGGGAGGGTGAGTTCGGCCATGTTGCCGAGTTCGGCGACCCGAAGGAATTTAACGTGGTAATTTACGCGTTGGTGACTAGTGTTCTGGGATTAGGTGGTCTTCAACGAACGATGCAACACTAAACGATTATGCGCTTTGCCAAAAAGAGGTGAGTCTCTTTGTCTCTTTCTTGTAAACTTACATCGTCATTTCGCGCTTGTCGCGTTCTGTCACGGGACGGGGAGGAGAGGAGAGGCCATCTGGTCTGCGACTTCTGAAAGTTTCAAATTTGTGGCAAAAAGTTAATCAGACATGTCTTGTCGATGAAGACTAACACAGTGATATTTTATTACATATTTTGTTACTTTTCTTATTACGTTCATAACGAACGTTCTTTATACGAAGGGTAGGTTACTCAAAAATCTGTCGTTTTGAAACACTGGATATTTATGGAAGTTTGTGTAAGCGTTCAAATATCGACTCTTTCTCTCCTTCTCCGAGAGGCCTTGCTTCTGTTGTATCTATCCTTGTCATTCGAATAATAAACATAGATTAAAGCCGTAGTCGATTATGTCACGTTATTTAAATGGAAGCTACGATTACATCGTTCGATACTAGAGTTTCAATTACAACGTGTCCATGTTAGTACACGTGTGTTCAGAGGTCGACGTTGTGTTTCGATTAAATTTCTCGTTCCGTTGGAATGTACTTAACCCCGGTCACGAACCAATCGAACATCAAGCGGCAGAAATCAAACAGTTCGCGCGAGAAACTTGTTTTCTTTATATACAGGTTCTCGTAACGTTCTTTATTCGACCTTACGCTGCTCGATGCTCTTCCGCTGGAACGAAGGCTTGCTCGGTCTCCGATTAAGATAAAAAAATGTCGATTTCTGATAATAGCGAAAATAACGAACGAAATGAACGTTACGCCGAAGTACTGTACGAAAAAGGCAGTAATCGATATTCCTGATTTTTCATTTTGAAAATTTTCGTCCTAAGCGATTAGTTAACTGTGAGTGCAGAAAATCAGCGTTAAGACTTTACCCATATTTTCTTATGTTCGCAATATTAGTATTATATTGGATTGTCCAGAAAGTTGGTGGCAATTTTTAAGATAAATTCAAAGGCACATTTGAATTTTGTTATATGTTTATTGAATAATATATAAATACCATTTTGTTCCACGACCGCCTACAAAAAATCGACACGGATTTTCCGGACAAAGTAATACAATATTCGTTTTACGTATTAGAATCGTTTTCAGATTAATATTCATATCATGTATTATAATTCTCGTCTCAGCGATAAATAACAAAGTATTGATTGTCGCGACGACAAGCCGACGAATAGGCTACCAGTCGGTAAAGTGTCAAGCGTGAGAGATTCTATTATTCCTCGGTAACAGACGTCTCGAAATTCGTTCAATGAAAAACGCTTAGCGACAATGTTGGAGTCGCGAGCGTCGTAAAACTCCGACAAGGAGAATTCATTGTTCTGGGGAAACGTTCTCGCGGTAGCCGTGTATTTAAATGTTCCGTACGTATATTTTTTGCATTATCGAGCGCCTAGCCGAGGCAGGTGGTAAAACACGTGGCATGCGTAGAGAACGCGCACCGGTCTCCGTGTTTCTCTTTCCTTGTCTTTTTTTCGTCTTTCGGTCACCCGGTGTACACTGTTCTCTTTTCAGCTTCCGTTCTTTCCCTCGCTCGCGTTCTACCTTCTGTCTTCGTATTACACGACACGCCAATGCAAAGGAAGCGCAATGTACCCAAGGTTCTCACCCTAGGTTACAGGATACGAGCGATGCACAAAGAATAGACACATCGCGTCGCCTTATTTCCTGATACGTGCCGCCTCCTTCGAATACGTGAATTAATTAGAAATACCTTTGAAAAAGAATAATCATAAGACTAATCATAAGAATAATCATAGAAATGGACTATCGGTAGATGAAGAATTCTATGGTATCTATAAAAATTGCAAATGTCACGTGATCGATAGTTTGAGATTTGACGATGAGTGTCGCGGCGATAGAATCGGTGCAATAGTCTCGATCCAGCGACGGCAACAGTTTTCGAGGTTAGCCGCTATCTGCGTTGTCCAAGTTTTTTCATCGATATATCGTCTTTCTCGTTCGCGGATCCGGTAACCCAGAAAGGTATAAGGTAACGCGCGAGGCAAACTCTTCACGAAAGGGTCGGCTTTCTCTTTTCGAAAGAAAATATTCGAGAGAAACAATCGGGAGTACTGTGTGTTCCATGCCGGCGCCACGTTACGCGCAAGAAAAGCGTAACAGAATACACATCTTGAACGCATGAGGGTATGCGGACATCGTTCATTTTTATTTTTAAGGAGGACACATCCTTTTGCGGTTTCACGAGCAGAATTCAATTTGATTAGAAACAATTTGTTTCCCGTGTTCGATATTTATTATTTATTCCTCTTCGAGAATAAATTCAATACATAATTCATACTTAATATAAAGATTGCTTTCTCGCATTAATATTATGCGAGTATCTGCTTCAGGAGCGCATCGTAAATAGCGAGATAATACCACCCTGATTTGGAATTCGCGTGGTATCTGGTTTGCTTAGTTGTCACCGAGGTGGCGCTTGAGCCGCGGCAAATAAAACCGTATCAGCGACTCTGTGTTTAACAGGCAGCGCGTATCTGACCTGGAAAGCTCGTGATTAACCGCAGACACGTTCAAAAAAAAAACTGGATCCTCCCTTTCGACGTATCATCAGCAAGCTTACCGTTTCCCTATGTTTGCCCCGCAGTAAAAGAGCTGTTGTGCAAGACCCGTGAAACCTACCGATAAATTCTTTCCTTAACAAGTTCTTCTCGGAAAGTCAGCCACAAATGGAACTTCATGCTTGTTCAAACGCTTACGTTATTAACACTTGGTCGAGAACCTGGCATACCTTCGTCAGCGACATCTTCTGTATCCAGAGCTGGGTAAAATACGTATTTTAAATAATAAACAGTAAATGAATATTTTATTTCGGATCGTGCATGTATTTTTAAAAATAAAATATTTTATTTGCTGAAATTTTATGTCCCGTTTAAAATGCTATTTTATTTGAATTCCGAAGAATCTATTATTTCAAATAGTATTTAAAATATTTTCTCTACAAATATTATCCACCTCTGCCTGTATCGAACTCTTTGCTTCGTTGCATGGTTCCTTAACGGAAACAAATATTACGATAATTTCTAATGTGATTTATAGCGTATTCGTTTAATTGCAAATCGAAAACTAACGAACGAAATAAATGGAATGACCTCCGTTCATTAACATTTTTTCCCCCTTTGCTGTGGTCTAGGTTCGACCCCCTGAAATTAAGAGTCCAGATGGTTCGAGTCCACCCCTGATCCATTACGGGTTTTCAAGCGTTCGAGAATTTACATGACCCTCGCTAATCCCCCCACCTCTCACCCTAGACTCATTTCGCCCATATTGCGTTCCGTACTTACGACGCGTTTGCATGCGGTCTGGTCACTTCGACACCGTCAAACTTTCGACTTCTATTTTATTCTCGCAGATCTGCGCAATTTCAATGGTCTCTCCACCCCCAATGTTCTTGTACGTTTCTTCGACGCTCTGTACATTTCCACCGGGGAGGGTTCCTAACCGTACTCGTTTCAGAGCGGAACACTCGTTCAGAGTTGTTCCATCTATTGTTTATCTATCGACTTGATAATCAAATTTACATAAAATAATTTTTGAAAAAAAAATATAACCGACTTGGAAAAATATTAAAATTGCACTAAAAAGTATGAAATATCTTTCTTTTCCTTACTTCTATTTCATTTGTATTAAATGATATTCGATAATATATTATATTTCTATTTTCTTTATATTAAATTATGTTAAATAACCTTTTCGTAGTCGGCGCAAAATTAAACATTTTCAATTCCTGCTCGAGTTAGTTTTCGGTGAAGGCGGCAATGTTGAATGCTGTTGATGTGTACATGTATGCTGTCTACGTGAAAGATTGAAACGATTAAAAATACACGATTAAATAATAAATAAATATATAGTATTAAA